AAGCACCTGGTGACATTCTGTCCCTCCATCTGAATCAAATCATAAAGGGCCCAAAATGGCTCCAACATGTCTTGTTTAGTCCAAAGACCTTCAGTTTAGAAAAGAAACCAGAAAATATCCACTGAAGAAGAAGAAATCACTCAGTTGAGACTGATTTGAATAAAAATGACTCAAACTGATGAATTCATCGTTGGAATATTTGACAATTGATTAATTAGTTGACAACTAGTCATTAAATTGATTCACAGTTGTCGCTGCATCTCACACTTTGTTTTATAATCTCAGCCTGCACTGATGTCAACTCAATTTAATTCTAAAATTAGGTGCAGTTCCACAATTATTGGATTATTGGAATGAATTGCTTTTGAGAGTTAGTTCATGGAATTCAATGGGAAAACATTTTAGAAATTGAACTATTACAAAAAGAAAAAAGGGGGACAAAAAAAATCAGACAATTAATAAAACACATTTCTGTCCAGATACAGATTAAATTCCAACATTACTACAAACTAACTACAAACATTGACTAGAAACTGCACATCATGACTCCTGTATGCTCGTAAATGAGGATTTGACATCATTTTCAAATTAGGAATTTTACATGTTTGCTCACATTTTATTCTATAAACTCAGTTACTGCTGATGTAACCTGTCACCTTAGTTATTAAACTGGCTGCAGGTTCATCATTAAATGAAACCCATTGAATGCAGTCCAGAAGATCCACGTTGGTGACTGGTTTGTTGTTGATGGTTTTTCTCTTTTGTGGAGAACAACATGCAGGGTGTCAGTGGCAACAAATAGGAGTTCTGGAGGTGATAAATATGTTCCTCAGACTTATTTGTTGTTGATGAATTGCCAAAACTGCTTCTCTAAACCTTCGACCCTCTTTCTCTCCTGCTTTTCAGACTCCAAGCTGTTGTCAGATTGGTGGAGGCGGCCTGCCCAGCACTCAACCCAAACTACAACCGTGTTTCCATGTGTTTATTTATGTAATATTTGACGTGAATAAATAAAGCAGCATCTTTATGATGGCAGAAATACAGGTTCTTTGCTGCTCAGATCAATGTAGCTTCTAAACATAACACCACCAGAAAAGGTTCACAAGATAAAATGACTAATGAAGATGTCAAAAGTTCACTTCTAAAACTGAATCTGAAGTTTGTTGAAAGAAAGCAGATGCTGAGAGAGACAGAAAACCAAATCCATTTGAACTGACCAAACCCTGAAAGCTGTAAATAACCACAATGAACTCTCTCTGCTGCTAAACATGCTGCCACGTCCAGGCTAAATGTTCACTTTGTTTTATCTCAGGTCAGTGTGAGAGTTTCAGTTGAGAGTAGTTGTCAACAATTGAAAACAACAAAATATTTGTTTCTTTTAGTGATTAGTAAATATTTCATGCGGTCACCAAAGTCAAAGTTTATCTTCTGAGACTGATGAAAGTCTGAACAAAAC